TCAAGAACTCCAATCCAGTTTTTCATAGAGTCCGATCCACGTTTTCCAGCCAGCCCAGTGCTCCACCATTCAAGCAGTCCATTCCAGTGATCCGCTCCAGCACTTACTATCAATCCACCAGGCCAGCATGCAGACACACAGGAAACAGCAGCACCAGGCTGGCACTGACACTACTAGAATAACTGAAAAGGAAAGGCTGCATTGTTTGTTAAATGTCAACAAAGTCTTGTGGTGTTAATCTGTTTTTTATTTATTAGGGGGCCAAAGCACAAGTGTGTGGAGTCTTGCTGCTATTTTAATTTCAATGTTAGACATTTTAAAGATTTCTTGTGTTGATTTATTTTCTATTTATTAAGGGGCCAAAGCAGCCAAAGCAAACCAGCTATATTTTTTATTTAATGTTAATGTTCAGGTTTAAAGTTTGTTTATTTAACCCTGTTAACAATAAACAGGTCAGTTTCTCATACCAACTGTTGTGGATCATTCTAACTAACCCGATTAAGTAGTTGTTCTTGTTAGAGTAATATCGCTTGATCAAACCTTTTCTAACATGACTGACATGACATGACTACGCGCTTGGATCGGATCGGTATCGGCCAAAACTCAAGGCTGTAATGTCGGTATCGGAAGTGAAAAAGCTGGATCGGGTCATCCCTAGTTACAATCAGTATGTTTGTTAAGTAACTTAAGTATGTCAATTATGCAACATCATTTAAGTATGTTACACAAGTTAACTCACGTACTAGCTTAAAATTAGTAAATTTTGACTTCTGGTTTCATAAGGGACACAAACAGCAGTCTCCTGGGTAAAAGTCCTGTGTTGGTTTTACCTATTCACGTACCTCAGCGTGAATTTTTAATTTAGGGCAAGGAGGGGAGGAGAGGAGGGCAAAGGCATGTCCTGTCCTTCTCTCCCTCTGATCGTTAGCTAATTTTAAACAAGAGGCAAGAGACAGATTGGGGTTAGGGTAAGAATGTCAGGCCAGTCATAGGAAGAGTAAGGGGCTGTACACATGCCACGGTTTTTGCGCTCCCAAATTAACTGTTTCAGTGTAGAAGAAGGTTACTCAGCAACCTCAGATGCAACCTGCCACCACACTCTTGATAACTGGCACAGGAAAGGCACAAGAGTAGTGCCTAGTGCCTGACCTCGCTTTTTCCAGGTGGTTAAAGACGCTGCATGTGTACAGCCCCCGAGGCAGAGAAGGGCGGGTCATGCTTTGGCCTTCCTAGGAAAAAAAATACCCCCCCAACCTGACTTTATTGCTCTTTATCCCATGTCACTTGACTTCCTCCTTCACTCCCGTCATAATAACTACAGCAACTAAAGGTATCTGCCAAACAATAAATATAAATATGGGTCGTAATAAGCTGCTTGCACAGACTATCTATACAGCAGTTTTGGGAGGAAGACGATCTGGTATACAGACAGATGAATCTGACAGGAAACTCAGTGTCTGTCCATAGCAGAGTATCAGTGGACCTCTAACTGTCCATGGCCTTTACACTGTCAGATATTAATTTGTTTTCCTCACAGCTCGCCACACTCAGCAGCTGTTGTGTGTTTGTTTTGCCATGTGTCGTCGTCATGGGGGTGGTGTCATGTTAAAAGGTGACATCCACACATTCCCTCTAAACATGAGTTAAATGAGGTCAATGGTTCCAACCTGCAATATATTCCTGTACAGGATGTTGTCTGTGTGTGTGTGTCCGTGCGTGTGTGTGCAGTACACTCCCTCACAAACAACCAAAAACAGAAACCAATATAAACACTTACACACATATTTATTCCTGAACGTCTACTCTGCTGTGTGATGTCATCGTCTTCTCTGTGCTATAAGTAAATGTTTCTGTGCCTTCATCTTCTTCTCTCTCGCCATCTCCGACATGTGGCACCAAGACGTCAACTCATTTTAAACATGACCCTGTGTGTGTGTATGAGTGTAGGCATGTATACATTCATTATTGAAAGCTTAAGCTCATTAGTACCATATGTTTTTCAAAATTATAATGCAGGTGTCATGAAATTATACAATATTGGTTTTGCCATTTTGTAGGAATAGTACTTTTCCGTGTTGCTGGCGGTGATATTTGGTGTAATTTCTGTTTGGCAGCTGCAACACTGCAGCAAGGTGTTGTATCAATTTATCAGCAGGTGGAAGAGAAAGAATTTATTTGCACAAGACATGAAGATAGGAAAGTGAATTTTATGTATCTATAGTCATCCCCTTCTCTTTGAAATGTCATACTTATTTGAAAGCCACAGGTATCTCTGTATTGATATGTTTAGTATTGATCTGCCCATCACCTGCTAGGATCACCTCCGAGGCCTGATGATGAGCATAAGACTCTCACTGTGAAAACATCAGACAAACAGAGGACTAACTGCATCAGAACATATCTGGTTCTTTAAAAAAAATCAAAAGGCATAAAACTGTGTATTAGGAAATAAGAGAAGTTAACTTCAACTCCAACATTTGGTCATGGACTTTCCACGTCCAAGGTTCCCTGGGTGTGTTGGTGGTTGATGTTTTGGGACGCCGTGTCAACTTCAGCCTGTTACATGCATTGTCAGCTTTTAAATTACCCCTCCATTTTCACAGGAGATGTACATTTTGCGTACAGTCTCTTTCAAAATAAACACACTACATCAGTACAACACTGCAAATTGATCCTTCAACAACAGGGTTTGGCTTTACAATCTTATGGGAAGCGGCCACCTGGGTGAAAGTCAGTGGTTGTTAGATACATACACCACCTCTGCCACACACCCTACTTGGACTTCCGCTGCCTTAAATTTCGTTCTTGTCCCGCCACTTTTTCCCCCAACGACGCCGGGCACCATTAGACTGTGTAACATGGCGACATCAAAGGACAGCTTTTTTTGTTGGTGTCTGACATCAGAAGTCACTTACCAAGCACAGGATATCGATGACTACAGAGTGAGACCGAATTGACAGCTGCCAAAGAGCAGTTTCAAGGAATACTTCACCCCCAAATGATCATTTGTATATCACTTACTCACCACTTGTTACGTTGAATTTGTGCAGAAAACTTTGTTTTCTTGCATGACTCCACAGTGAACAAAAAGATACAAAAACGGAGAAGACTCTTGATGAAATGAAGTCATAAGGGTCTGTGACTGTCTGCAACAGTGAAACTATCAAAATATCAGTTTGCAAACTCTCACACAACTCGTGCAGAATAATCCAGGTCTCATTTATCCAGTTGTGTGCTCAGTACCTCCAAAACTGACAACCTTTTTCAACAGGGAACTGAACTAATGGTGAAACTTATCCATGCTCTCTTCAAAGCCAGACTCCATTGACAAAAAAGGAATTTTACATCGCTGAACACAGGAGCTGCTGGTCTACTGCTCCCTCGATCAGTTTGTTTGCTTGGAGGTTGAAGGTTCCCATAGTGAAGGGGATTTTGTTGACAATAAAACACGGAGAACGCGGGCCAAAATAGTAGGTCAATGGCAAGCTTATATCCACAATCTACATCCACTAAGTCAGACTGGTGTATTACCTACAGCAGACTGCAGTCGGCATGCCCCCAGTTTAGAGAAGCAGGCAGGAGTACCACCACAGAAGCTAAGCAGTGTACTACTGTGGACAGGGGCAGATGCCAAATGTATTACAGCCACCTAATAACTCAATATCAGTTGAGGTGTAGGCTGTGAGAGAACATTTGGACCCCTTTACCTTGCTATAGATAGCTCTTCTTGACGGAGACGCCATCTAACCCTTTAAAAAACCAAGGTCACACAATAACACAAACAAACCAAATGATTGAGGCAGAAGTACACCAGCTCAGCTCCTGTGTAATGTGATGTAAAAATACTGTTCTTGTCAATGGAGTCTGGCTCTGAAGAGAGCAAATAGCAAATAATTCAGTTTAAATACTAAAATTTTAGTGAAAAAGCATGCTTGGGAAGTACTGAACATATGATGGGATACATGAGACATGAGTTTGTTAAATGTTGTGAACTACTTTTACTTAAATTAATCAAGATTTTTTTCAATTTTTGGATTCTTCGTTCACCAGAGGCATGCGAGAAAAACGTCTTCTTCACAAATTCAACCACAGACATAAACATGTCGTGAGGTCAGGTGCTGGGTGCGACTCTTGTGCCTGTTCTGCGCCATTTTTTCAAGGGCAGGGGGGCAGGTTGCGTCTGAGGTTGCTGAGCGACCGTAACCAGCACGGTATCATAGCCTGCTTACCAGAAATCCTGAGTGCAGAGCTGATCTTCTCCCAGACGCCGTCTTCTGAGTGTGTCAGGCCAAAAATATTTTTTGTGGGACAGATGTAAAGCTCTGGCAGCCCTGCACTTCATATTTACCGCAGACTGATACTCACAGAAGAAGGAAAAGATATCTGCCGGCTGTGATTGGTTGTTGATTGACGCTGCTGCGTTCCAAAAGTTGTGCAGTCGTCACGTCCTGAAAAGACGACTTTCAAATGTTAGTTCACAGTTGAGAAAAATACAAAAACCAGTGTCCTTCCCACTTCCCACCTCCAGCAGCCTCAGCAGTACATTTCATGTTGAAGTTTGGGGAGGTGCTGGGAGACCAGAAGATGTCAGAAGGAAGGGCAGTGTGTCATTTTTTTATGACTGCGTAAATATAAAGTACAATGCTGCTGCAGAGTCCCCCTGGATAAATAAAGGTTAGAACATAATAACACACTCAGGCGCTCAGTGAAGGATCCACAGAGCTTCAAACGACCTTAACAGAAACTTTACGGCCCGATGATGTGGTGCAGTTTATATTTAGGCAGAGTCCCTCATGCTCTCACACATATCAGATGATTGTTGTCTTTAAATTTGGCGTGACACACAGACACACTGGGATGCACAAACACATGCACGCTACACACACCCTTATCATTCTCATCTTACAGCCTGACCTGTCACTCTTCATTAGCTGCCTTAATGTGTGTTACATTATACGGAGAGTGAGCGCAGCTGAGCGGCATCTCAGTGAGAATATGGAGGAAACTAAATACAGTCTGGGCTTAATGTTGTTATGTTATTTGATATCACTGAATGAATATTCAAAATAACTGCGGTGAGTCACTTATTTTACTTTTACTTGCTGCAGTGTGATGTATTGTTTGTTTTGACCTCAGTTCAGAGAAATCTGATTTGAAGCTGACCTGAATTCCACTTTAAAGCTTCACTGTGTTTGATCGCCTGAGACCGATAAGGTTACAGCCAGTCTTTCATAAATAGCATTGGCAGGGATGTACAGTCTGCTGTCGGACTGTTGTTGTTTACCCATTAGCTGTAAGACAGATCATAACAGCTTACATCAGGACAGTATAAACAGCTTGCATCTCTGCAGGCACAATTACGACAGCGGTGCACCACTCCAAAACTGTAGGGGCGCCAAATTGCACAAACATCATTTCTGGCTTCGAGGCTTGGTAAGTAGAAACAAAATGCTATGTTTACTTTGTTTCATTACTTCTAATTTATCTCTTTATTTTCATTGTACATTGATTTTCTACAACTTTATCAATGTTTGTTTGTGATGTAGCTGACAGCACTGACTCTCTTAGTGTCGCATGGTTCCCTTGTCAAAAAGCCATTTCCATTAGATTTTGGATCATTGCAAAGAGCTCTGTGGCAAACAAAAGTTTAGGATACTTATGCGGGATTTATACTTGTGCAGCAGACCCTATGCCATAGTCTACACACCTGGCCTACGCCTTTGTGAGCATTTATACTTGTGCAGTGGTGTGTCACTCTGCAGTAACACTTCTAGAACACTAGTCTGTGGTAGAGTTTCTGTGAAGTGCTGTAAAGTTCAGTTGATTCAAAACACACATTAAACACACATTAAACATGGCTTAATAGAGACAATTTCAAACACAAGAACACAAATCAGCTTCACTATAACTCGCAGCATTCACAGACAAAACACTTGTCTTTATCTGGACACATCTTCCCCACAAATACAACATGCTAACATCATTAGCACAAGTCTATGGCATTTTACATTGTATAAATTAGCCTAGCAACTAGCGGACTTTTCCTCTACTCATATGAAACCAGGGACAACAGCAACATTTAACAAAGGTAACATTACAAAATATGGCTCCATTACAACTCACAAGGTTTACTGACAAAACAACTGTTTTATACTAAACACGTTTTCCAAGCAAATATAACATGCTAACGTTATTAGCACAAGCCTATGACATTTTACATTGTATAAATTAGCCTAGTGACTAGCAGAGATTTCCTCTGTTCATATGAAGCCAGAATAAATCACACACAGGACTTAAAATGCTGTTTTTGTGGAGGCTTTATTGTCTTCACAATTTATTGTTTCTTATCTGTGAAATTAAAGTCAATAAAAGCTTTGTTTCCACTGAGGGAAATGGTTTCAGCTCACAGAAACAGACAGGCAGTCTGCATTGCCGCAATGTGTAGTTACATTTCTGGGCAGGTGTATGCCAGGCTTTGGCGTAGGGTGCGTAGGTACGGTGTCGATTCAACGCAGAAGTAAAAATTTCGCCTTACTCGTTTTTTTCCAGCAAGATAATCTTCGCAAATGAACATCTCTTTTACGATTTTTGAAGTGTTAATGCCATCACCAAAAGTAAAAAGCTCACATTAGACTATAAACAAACTACACTGCAGCTGCATGACTTAATATTGTCACCACAATGAGGCTGTAAAGCTACATTCAGCGTGATGACGCCCTGTAGTGTCATTTAGCCAATTGTTAGCAACTGACCTAAAGGCTTCAGAATTCATAAGTGGGGTATTTACTGACAAATTTTATGTCGTAGAACAGAACACAAAAGTCTCTTAAGCTTGTGTTAACCACAGACCTTTTTTAAGACATCCAACCAAAAACCCATCGACTTTGAGATGAGGGAATTGGGAGCGCTAAATGCTAACCCTGGGTTCCGGGACTGGGTGTTGGGACTCATTTCTGCAGCACTGTATATAAGGCATTGTGGGTTTCTAAAGATGTCCAACAGATCCATCCTAAGTCCCGCTCACCTTACTTATTGTTGCTTGATTGGACAACTCTAACAAAAAGAAAGATAATGATGCTGGGTGCAAAAGTGCTAATTAGATTGTTTCTGGGCTTCAGGCAACATGGCTGCAAGAAGATTAATCATTAACTGCAAATTAACTGTGTTGGAGACATGTCTCTTCGGTATAGCAACTCATACTCGTACACTCAGTTCATATCAGACATGAAGCTAGCAGATAAAAAGAGCGACAAATTAGGAATAAACATTAAATTTGTACTCATCAGCGTCGCCAGACAGATTTTACTGGGGCACGTGCCCCAGTATTGATCTGCAGTGCCCCAGTAAAAATTTCACCAGTAAAAAATTCACTTCAGAGTTTTAACTCCACATAGCATACACAGTGCGGACATGGCTACTTAATATGGTAATTCATTCATGCGCTACTCCATTCACTCCTCATACACAGTGCGCACATGGCTATGGGCCCGAACGACGTATAGTGCGTCCAAATTCACACCTGTTCTTCTCTATTGATTTTCTCCGCAACCATGCGTCATAGCACATAGAAGCCACACATATCACGTGAAACAGCAGAATTGTAGCTTTCCGACAAGACCAAGCACTTGTCGGTAGTCCAATGTTTTCACAGCGAAAAAAAAATGATGAAGTTACACTAAAATGATGTATAACAGAGCTTTCATACAGCTCTGCACACACATTACTCTTGGATGGATTACTCTCGAATGCTGGCTCGCACAGAAATGCCACACATATCACATGCTTACGAGCTTTCCAGTGATACCACACACATCATTGTGCTGTCATCCCATCATGCTATAAATCCAGATTAATTGTCTACAACATAAAAACCTGACGAATTTCTTTACAATCCATTATACAGATCTTGTTATCAGTCACTTCATATAGTGAGGAATATCGTATCTTACCACGTCTTAGGCCTGCGTGTGTTTCTCCCTGTTTATCCACATTTGTAGTCCGGCTTTCAAGATGCAAGTATCTCCATATTGTCCAGTTGACACTCGTCAAACTTTGTATGACAAGACCAGCCACTTCACCTTTGCGCACCCAGACAACTGCAGCCTAATGCATGCTGACAGGGCCGTAGTCACCATATACATTGAGGGGGACACGTGCCCCCCCACCAATGCCCAAAATGTCTCCCCAATATATAACTGAAACTGAAAAACAAATATTATCTTGGAGGACATCATTGCACTTGGTTGACTATTTTTCTATGATC